ATTTTTGCTGAACATTTAGAAATTCTATCTGGGGACCAATACCATCTATAAAACATTGTAATTATATTTTCCTTATAAGATGTGACTTCCAAAAATTTGTGCCCCTGCCTCCCCCACCCCCAATTTTTCTGAACCAGTTGGAAAGGCCTACTACAGTCAAAGTTTGAGAATCCTGTCCAGAAGCAGTGGCATCTGGAAGGGCTTCGGAGAGACGTTCTTCACAAGGTCCAGACTCCCTCTGTCATGCTGCCTTCTCTTTTTTCCCTGGGAATGCCCCCCTCCCCCATATTAGTTTGTTGAGAGAGTCAGGGAACGACAAGGATGTTGCATTTGAGAAGCCGTGCATTTCCCCTTGGGAGGGAGATAACCTCCTCTCTGTGTCCCCGGAAAAGATCAGTTGCTGGAGGTCTGTATAAGAAGGATATTAGCATCCCAAACCCAGTAATCACCCCCTGGAAGCCGTTGTAACTCCTAACGACAGCTTCAAGAATAAAGCTGCATCGAAGCGCCTCGCAAACAGGGCCCGAGGGCCCGTTCACAAATACGTGGCTACTGAGTATTCCACTGGCAAGCGTGTGCAAGGAAGGTATCTATGAAAGTCCCTTGAAAGAGGCAGATGCTGGAGAAAGACAAAACGATCAGCACAGATGAGTCTGAGAGCAGAGGAGAGGAGAGGCTGGCGCAGGGAGGCTTTGCCAGAGAAGCATGATCAAGGGAGATCCTGGAAACAAAGTGCTGCAATAAAATGAAGAAGAGATTGGATTTATACCCCGCCCTTCAGTACCCAGTGTTCCGTGCGCCTTGGTGTTTAGTCATGCCGGCCACATGACCATGAAAATGTCTTCGGACAGCGCTGGCTCTTCGGCTTTGAAACGGAGATGAGCACCGCAACCCTAGAGTCGGATTCGACTGGCTTTCGAGCAAGGGAACCTTTACCTTTACCTTCACTACCCAAAGGTGTCTCAGAGCGGCTTACAAACTCCTTTCCCTTCCCCTCCCCACAATAGACACCCTGTGAGGTAGGCGGGACTGAGAGAGCTCTTGACAGAAACTGCTTTTTTCCCCCAAGAACAGCTCTTATCAGAGCTACGGCTTGCCCAAGGTCATCCAGCCAGAGCGCAAGTGGACGAGTGGGGAATCAAACCTGGCTCTCCCAGATTAGAGTCCCTGCACGTAACCACTACACCAAACGCTTGAGGTGGGAGAGGGGAGAGCAAGCGACTCCAGGCACCAGGAGGCATGCCTCCAGCGTTCCCTCTAAGCTGCGTTAGAGTGAGCTAGCTCACAGTTTTTTAGCCTCTGGCTCACACATTTGTGTCTCAGCTCAGGAAGGAGGGCTCCAGAGCAAACTGGTTTATGCAGCAGCCAAACTGCTCGCTCACAAGTTTAATGCCAGTAGCTCACGAAGTAGAATTTCTTCTCACGAGACTCCACAGCCTAGAGGGAGCGTTGCGTGCCTCCAACAACAGCATTCGCCACATCGGATTTCATCAGCAGCGAGTGATCATTCTCAGCTTCGGGAGAAGCGGGACAGAAGGGACAACTACAGGCTGGCAAGGACGTTCAGAGGGTACCTGCCAGTCCTCCAGATCAGGAACAGCTGGACAGAGTGTCCGTCCCACACCCAGGTTTGCTTACACCAATCAAGGACTCGCCTCCCCCTCCCCACAAGCTTGCTTGTTATCCACTCCCTCAACCCCTGCCCAGGGAGTGCACTACAAACCCTCTGGCCACGGAGGGAGGGAGAGAGGGGGAGAGGGAAGCAGAGAAACAGGGCTGAGGGTTCTGCCCAGTGCCTAGCATCCCATCGCCACTAAGCAGATGTTACAATGGCTGCGGACAGACAAGTTCCATGCACGGGGCTGAACAGACGTGGGAGGGAGAAAACAAACCCGCTGTTAGCAGCTCCCTGCCAAGAGCTCAGTCGCCACGGAAAGGGTTAAAACTATGCCTGGCTCACTTTCCATGCACAAGGGAGTGGGTGAAGCTCTCACATCAGGGCCGCTGACTAACCTCCGCATTGTGGGGGGGGGGCACAGAAGGAGGAGGCGGGCAGGCCGAGAGACCACAGGTTCGGATTCAGCGGCCCTCCGCCGCCAGCAGCCTGCTCCCCTGTTGAGTCGGGGCAAAAGCCACGCTGCTCTCATTTCCAGAAGGGCATCGATGAGCGTCTTCTCATCATCCCTAATTGCGGGTTTCCCTTTTGCGCCCCATTGTCCCCTAATTGCCTCCTAGAGGCTCGGGAAGTAAGCTGACTTCTCCGCCAATTTGAAAGTAAGCTGACTTCTCCGCCAATTTAGCTCTTCCCTGGGGTTAAGGGGAGGGGTCCTGCTGAGGCGGTGCAGGACTGAGACGGAGGCGTGGGGCAGCCTGCTCTCCCCTCTCCCAAACCTCAGCCGTAACGTGGCTTTTGGCAAGCGCTCGGTCCCTTCCCTCCCCAACCTGTGTTCATTTATTTTTTTCCTTCACCTCCTCCCTTAAAATGGTTCTCATCCCATGGATCTGTTCCATACACAGTGGCGCTTTCCTTGGACACAAGGACAGGCAGCTTCTTGCTCCAGAGGGATGCGCCAGTTAGCAAAGTGGTTCTATGGGACCCCGCCCACAGTGTTCAGTCCCTTTCTCGCATTAGGTTTGGTGCAGTGGTTAAGTGCGCGGACTCTAATCTGGGAGAATCGGGTTTGATTCCCCACTCCTCCACTTGCACCTGGCTGGATGACCTTGGGCAAGCCGTAGTTCTGACAAGAGCTGTCCTTGAAAAAGAGCCGTTTCTGTCAAGAGCTCTCTCAGCCCCACCTACCTCACAGGGTGTCTGTTGCGGGGAGGGGAAGGGAAAGGAGTTTGTAAGCCACTCTGAGACACCTTCGGGTAGTGAAGGGCGGGGTATAAATCCAATCTCTTCTCTTCTTCTTAAGACTGTTCCAGGGGGTCAGCCGTGTTGGTCTGAAGCAGTAGAACAAATTTAGAGTCCCGTGGCACCTTTCAAGACCAACAAAGGTTTATTTGGGCTATTTCAAATTTTAAAAATGTGAATGAACAAAGGTTTATTCAAGCAAGGCTCACACCTCGCATTCAAACTGTACCCAAGCCTGAAACTATCCAGCAGAACGACGTTAGAGCAGAGGTTAAGTTCATCTAAAGCAGGAGGAATAAGTTGCATTTTTCAACTTCTTCTTTAAACTCATAAGGATGATGTGCCTGAACAGCATATCCCGCAGCCACAGTGCTGCCACACAAGCCATTTTTGCCTGCTGGCTCAGAAACGTGGGTGAGAGGGCCTGCACACGAAAGCTTATCCCCAGAATTAAACTTGTCGGTCTTAAAGGTGCCACTGGCTTTGAACTTTGTTCTGTTGCTTCAGGCCAACACGGCCACCCACCTGTGTGAAAGGTGCGTCTTTCGTTTCCTTTTGTCTTCTCTTCCCTGTCTCCGCCACCCTTTAAAGCCTCCCCCGACTCAGCTCTTTGGCTGAAAGCTCCTTTGGGGGAAGAGACCCATCTCCAGGTAAAGCACTATGCATGCTGTTGGCATTATTCAGATAACAAGTGGTGGGGGGGCTGTGAGACCTCTGCAGGGTGGGGGAATCCCGCCTCCACCCTCATCGCCAAGCCTGACACAGCTGCAGGCCCCACCCACCCACCTACTCCTGAGCCCAGCTGCAGCGGCAGCGCTGTCTGCAAGCGGCTCCCAGCATCTGTTGCAACCAGGCCCAGAGTGGTCCCCAGTTTTCTCTGCCAGCTCTGAAGATTAAAGGTAAGTGCACTCTGCACATGCACAGACAACACTTTTTTATTTGGGAAGGAATCCAAAGCTCCCCAAAATTGTTGTTGTGTGGGGTTGGTGTTTTGTTTTGTTTTAGATTTCAGATTTTTCTGCAAACCTGGGAGGTCCTCCAAGTGTGCTGGAAAATCTGTCTAATGTCCGCGTGGCCCTGATCTGCAGATTTAGAATTCATTCATTCATTCATTCATTCATTCAATTTATACCCCACCATCCCCGCTGAAGCAGGCTCAGTGTGGCTTATGTAAAATACATATATAAATACTGTTAAGCTCATTCATAAAACAGCATAACAATTAAATATTAGTTATCCTAAAGTGCTGGAACAATATTCAAGTAAAGTAAAATGCGAGAGCAGGGGTTTCAAAATTAAACAGTATTCCTTAGGTAGCCGTCATGGTGGTATACTCACACCAGCTCAGTTGATCAAATTATGTGTGTGGTGGGCACCGGCTGTAAGTTGTAGGCCAGGGCGCAGGCTCACTTCTCAGATATACACAGATGGGAGCCCCACAGAGCTATTAGTAATGTTCTCCCCTCTAAGCTGAGTTAGTGTGAGCTTGCTCAGAGTTTTTTAGCCTCCCGCTCACACATTTTTGTCTTAGCTCAGGAAGGGTGGCTCCAGAGCAAACTGACTGATGCAGCGGCCAAACTGCTCGCTCACAACTTTAATGCCAGTAGCTCACAAAGTAGAATTTTTGCTCCCAAGACGCCACAGCTTAGAGGGAGCATTGGCTATTAGGCGTATAGATAATTTGGAATGTATCTGCCCACAACCTTCAAACGTCCAGTTCTACCATCTGCAGCATCCAAAAGGCTCTGGGACCTGTCCATGGCTCTGCCCTTTCTCTCCCATCGCCTGAAACTTTTCAGAACACCCTGCACAATGCCACCCCTCTCATTCCCTTTGAATATCCCTCCTCCTCAAAGCTTACGTTTTCCGTGACATCTTTGGCACAGCTTCCTAGCGTCTTCCAGAACCTAAGTCCAAGCAGCACGTCTGATTGCAACAGAGCGAATGCTGATTTCTCCTCCCTAACCTCCTTCTTGTATAAAATGTCAGACTGCAGGCACCCCAGGGCAGAGATCGATCTCCCTGCTCTCTATAAAGCACCATATGCATCAATGGCACCATATAAACAACGCTGTAACTGATTTTGCGCCATGTCCTGTCTACGGGACCAAAGCTGGGGAATAAAAGGACACCCTCAAATACTCACAAGGTCCAGGCTGGATGGGCAAAGTCACTTGGTGCTTCCTTACGCCATCGAACAAGAGTTCCGCTCCACCTCTGAAATGCAGACGAAAGCCAAGCTATGATCTTTCGCCAAGACAAATCACAGAAAAGCTTAAACATTTAAAGTAAAAAAACAACAGCTCAGCTAGTGTCCCTGTCACCCCCTTCTGAGATGAGCCCAAACACTAGGCATGACATGCCTTCCCACTCGGTATTCATTATCCGATCTTCCTTCCAAGCAGCTCAGGATGGGGTGCATCAGTCGCCCTTCACTTTGTCACCACAAAACCCTGGGAAGGCAGGGAAGGCTGCAGGCACTCAACTTGACCGGCACTTGGTTATGGGGTGTGCTTTGTGCCCGAGTCCAATAAGGAGAAATCTTCAGTGAACATAAGAATATAAGAGAAGCCAATGTTGGATTAGGCCAGTGACCCATCCAGTCCAACACTCTGTCACACAGTGGCCAAAAATACCAGGTGCCATCAGGAGGCCCAATCAGTGGGGCCAGGACACTAGAAGCCCTCCCACTGTTGCCCCCCCCCAAGCACCAAGAATACAGAGCATCACTTGCCCCAGACTGAGAGTTCCTATCTATACCTTGTGGCTAATAGCCACAGATGGACCTCTCCTGATGGATGCTCCCTAATAGTTGCTCATAAATCAGAAAGTTCTATTAGAGCTAAGGAGGAGGGAACATAGACTGCCTGGTTAGAAATAGTTTCCAACCATAACAGCATAAGAGAAGCCAATGGTGGATCAGGCCAATGCCCCCACCCCCCGAATACAGTGCATCCCTTGCCCCAGACCGAGAGTTCCTATCTATATCTTGTGGCTAACAGCCACCGATGGACCTCTGCTCCATGTTTATCCAAGTCCCTCTTGAAGCCATCTGTGCTTGTAACTCCTGTGGCAGTGAATTCCATGTGTTAACCACTCTTCAGGTGAACAAGTACTTCCTTTTATCCTTTCTAACCCGACTGCTCAGCAATTTCATTGAGTGTCCGTAAGTTCTTGTATTGTGAGAAAGGGAGAAAAGTATTTCCCTACCTGCTCTATCCCATGCATGATCTTGTAAACTTCGATCATGTCACCCCTCAGCCGTTGTTTCTCCAAGCTAAAGAGCCCCAAGCGCTTTAACCTTTCTTCATAGGGAAAGTGTTCCAACCCTTTTATCATTCTAGTTGCCCTTTTCTGCACTTTTTCCAGTGCTATAATACCCATGAAGTCAATCGCAGCGGAGGCTCCAGTAACCACTGACTTCAGACACACAGCTGAGATCCGTAGAGAGCCACGAGGGCAAGATTTCAGGAGCAGAGTTTGATTATGACTTTATCGATATCCTGCCCTTTGGCATCAATATTAGTCCACAAATTGCCTTATTAAAATATGTGAGCGCAGAGAGAAATAATATCAAAATATGAATGGGGGATATTAACAGATGACCCAGTCCCTTTAAATCTAGCTACGTGAAAGAGGGGTTTTGGCTGTACTACGGGAGAGCACAACAGTGCCTTTGTAATGCTTACTGCAATGCTACTTATGTACAGTCAGTCTCCCAAAGATTGCTCCGTGGGTGCTGCCGAGCTCACAAAAACACAGTTATCTGAAAACTGAAGTAGCAGTTATTAATGTCAGACAAATCTGGAGATTCATGCAACAGAGAACAAGTCCCAGGAATTGTAGGAAAGAGACATCTTCAGGGCGCCTGCTATGAAAACAAGCTCACGCTTTGTTACCACCAGATACGAGGATGGGAGATAAGGTCCTTCTGTAACATGCGAGCTGGGGGAAAACTCAGCTGCAATGGACACACATAGAGCACTCATTTAGGCATTTCCAAGAAAGGGGGGTCGGGAGGGAGAAGAGAGAGAAAGGACTGACACACTCTGCTCTTCTGGAAAGTCAGGACCATTTTAGTGGCGACCACAGGTGGGGTGTTTATCTGAAAAGGTTGCAGGCTCAGTGGAAGGAAATAAATTAAGAAACCCTGGCAGGTTGTTGGGATTGGGGTCTACCAAAACACAACAGACGTCAATCCACTAGCATTACTTTTATAAGAAAAACCAAGAATATTTGGGAGGTGAAGAAGAGCTGCCCAGCAGTTCACAAATTAAAGAAATAAAAGTTATGTTTTTATTGTTGATACCCAATATCCCATGGGATCATTTACGGTATTAGGTGTAGTAATGTGATAGAATATATTACTTCTAATCCTGAAGAATTAACAGTTTTTTAAAAAAGATCTCTCCTAATAGTAAAATGTCTGGGACCCCATTATGATCAGTAAAGCAGCAAAAATGGGCTACTCAGAATTCCCCATGTATGAAAAATCAACTTTGTTATTAAGAAAAAGAAAACCTCACCCTAAGATCGCCTGACAAGGACTGAATATGCTTCAGGAGGCCTGGAATGTTGACAGCAACTGAAAATCCAAGGGAAATCAAGTGGACATTCTTAACCAAATCCTACAGAGCAGGCTATTGGGGTGGAGGAATTCCCAAATTGTTTTTTCCTCCCATAATTCCTTGCAGGCCTCCAGGTTGTTAAGAACTAAGTAGAGAATCAGACACAATACATTGGAGGTTTTATCTATATACTACTAAGAAAAAAAGATTAAAATTCCTCCTCTGAAAGGAGGTCACTTTGCCCCTATGGAAAAAGGTTTAAAGTTAAGCTGAGAGGAACCATGATCTACAGCTAGTGTTATTATTTTACACTTATATAGTACTTCCAGCATTTAAAACATTTTGTTATATCATTATGGAATACTTGGATCTATAAAGTGTGAGCAAATGACTTTTGCATGGCCTCCCAATTATTCTGGCTGCTGGACAGAGATTTCCTACATCCAGGCCTGACATTTTAGTTCCCTTATCACATTTACCACAAAAAGAAATGGCCAGCTGAGGAAGCTTTTTTGGGGGGTGCAGAGTCAAAGGACAAAAACTCTAGGACTAATAGTTGTATTGTGTTTAAACATCAGAAGAGAATAATTTGTAGCCTTACTTTATATTTATTCCTGAGGTACCTTAAAAACTAATAAATTTACAGTGAATGGCTAAGAACATCTATGGTGTCAGGTGCTTACATTTTGTTCTTTTTTCATTGTTGTGTTGTTCATCTTTTATTCATAAAACTCTCTGGCGATTTAAATATATATATACATTTAAAGAGACTAGAGTGAATTTAAATCCCTTTCTAGATAAAATATTATAGTTTACACACATAGATAGCTGAGGGATACGCAATACCGGCATTCTTGCTGTGTAAAAAACTGCCTCTCCTCATTTTTCAGAAATATATCGACATCTTTTTAGGCATTTTCCCCCACTCCCTCCATCATTACAATTAGTATTTTAAAGAAACATTTAATAGCATAAACATTTTAGATTACTCAGTGCAGAAAGCAACCTCTCCAGACCAAGAACCAAATGTGTAAATGATGTTGTGTTTCAAAAAGCACAGCAGGTAGATTTTTATTTCTCTTGAAATCTTACTAGAGGAAGGGGACAATAATCAGCACCTCAAAACTGGAATAGCCCAATGACATGCAGCCCTTTTGCACTGGTGAATCAGCTGCCTTTTCCCATTCCATAGGCACTTAGGACATGATCCTATTTTCTAACCACCACTTCCTGAGACCCTTCTGTTGAGATGAATGACCCAAAGAGAACGGTGGATCAAAGCTACTTCAATGTTAACATTTTCTGTGATGGATTTTTCAGAATTTCTCTGTCTGAAAATCATAGTTTCTGATCTGACATCTCTGAACCCTAAAATCTGTGTGTGAAAGGATTTTGTTATTGAGAAGTGAAAAAGGCACTACTGCACATGTAGTTACTTTTCCTTTATTCTTCAAGCATGCTTACATTGAGCTATGATATTTTTTAAAAATGGATTATGGACCTATGTTCTAGCACACAAAAACTTACACTTAGAATAAAACTTTGTTGGTCTTAAAGGTGCCACTGAACTCAAACTTTTTTCTGCTGCTTCAGACCAACACGGCTACCCACCTGAATCAAACCAAATCCTGTAACTCATAAGCATGCCACTTTCAGCATATAGATTTACATCCTAAAGTCTTTCACAGCAGCCCTTCTAAACAATCATTGCTTCAGTATTCCAAACTCTCGTTCCATCATCACATTATAGAATGATAAAATCCTCATCAGTGGGCCAAGCTAAATCGACCTGCCTACAACCTTTTCCAATTTGTAACTCTTCCCTTGTTGACATGGATTCTCTTTCTAAATGGCACCTTTCAAGCCCCTTCTTTCAAAAGAGTCATTATATGAGTTCTAATGTACTGCTAGAAATGTCCCTCACCTGCTGCTTTCTCCCCCACTTCAGTTATTGCATCCTTTGCTCCTAAAACACTGCCACCCATGCTAAAAACACTGCTAAAAATACTGCCACCCATTTTATTTCTTAGACTACACTAGGTCCCCAGGTCCTCCCATGAGCTTTATATATCACAACAGAAGGCATTTTCTTCCTACATGTTCAGCTGTTTCCCATCCCCAGTCTTTCCCCATCCTATTACAGCCTGCCAACCTTACACACTCCTACATAAAACCACCCCCTCCCACCCCCACAAAAACTAATTCTGGATCCCAATAGTTTCCCATCACCTGAGCTTTGCCCTTCAATCTATTTACCCCGTTGTTATCATGCTATTCCTCCGAGGGACTCAGGCTGGTGGTTCTTTTCTCACAGTTTTATTCTCACAGGAGGCGGGCTAGGCTGAGAGATTGCTCAGCCCAATAGGAGGCAATCTGGTCCAATACTGCGGCGTGAATATCACTCAGCACAGGGAAGTCTTTAAACCCAGACTTCATGCAAATATATTATCCTTTGATCTAAGGATCACAGTAACTTCCCAGTTTACCCCCACCAATCCCAGGAATCCCACACTCCCGAACACCCTCAGACTACTGGGTCCTCTTCTCTCCGCCTTAAAACACGCCCCATCCTAGCTTCGCTGGCTCGACCACACGCCTAACCGGACCACAGTCATCCCTTTCATTCTACTCCCCGCCCCGGTATCCTGAACCCCTTTATTCTCTCCCACCCAAACACTTCCCTCCCTTCCATTCTCCTCCACCCGTCCGGCCCGAGCCCCTTTCTTCTCTTCCCTTACCCGAACTCAAGCTGAACGCACAAGGGGGCCGCCATCTTTGACCAGGGAACCTCACTGCCCAAACCGGAAGCTTTCGGCTCCTACATCCGGGTTAGGAGGCGGTCACCTAGCAACGAGGGCAACGACGCCTCCGAGGCTTGCGTGCACCGAGGAGTAGTAGGATAGAGGGCGAGTCTTCTGCGGGTTTTGCATATAATATTTCCGGGTTGTTTTCGGTTCCAAAGAAATCTTGAAGAGGGGCAAAAAGTGCCCAAAGGGAAATACTGCGGTGGAAAGCCAGGATTTCCCCCCCAAAAAAAAGTCGCTGCAAGGACTTGCTGCATCCACCCCTCTTGTCTTCCCTCCCCAATAAAAACGTGTAGAAACAAATTTCATGGAGGGGTGCGTGTGCATTTCCCCCCAGACTTTCCCATCTAGCATTGCCTGCGCTAATGCCTCCTTAGTGCAGATGGGTGGGTAGCTTGAAGCTGTAATCAAGTGGCTTACGACAGCCCTGCAGTGTAGTCCAGTGTTTTTACCTCCCATGTGACACTGGTTTGGGGAGGGGGCTGATGCTGAGAAGGTGGTAATGGCCACTATGCAGTGTAGTCCACTCATTCCCATATTGTAATGTTCTGAGGCTGGTTTACCTGTCTGAGAGCCAGTTTGGTGTCGTGGTTAGGAGCGTGGACTCTAACCTGGGAGAACCGGATTTGATTCCCCACTCCTCCACATGCAGCTGCTGGTGAACCCTTGGGTCAGTCACAAGTTCTCTCAAAGCTGTTCTCTCAAGAGCAGTCCTTGAAAGAGGTCTCTCAGCCCCACCTACCGCACAGGGTGTCTGTTGAGGGGAGGGGAAGGGAAAGGAGATTGTAAGCCACTCCGAGATTCCTTCGGGTAGTGAAGGGCGGGGTAGAAATCCAATCTCTTCTTCATTACTGCAAATTGCCATCCCCACCTTTTGAAGTTTTGAGGCTAAGAGTGGCTTAAAATAACCCTGTACTGTGATACACCTGTTAACATCTTCATAATTTTTTAAAAAAGGATGAGAGAGTAGTGTACAAACCCGTAGTACCAGGGTCCCCAACCTTTGTGAGCCTATAGGTGCCTTTGGAATTCTGACACAACATGGTGGGCGCGCCAAAAAATGGCTGCCACGGGAGGTGAAGCCAGCCACAAAATGGCTGTGCAGCTTACCTCCGGTCACATAGTGAAGATCCTTGTGCTCTGGTAGTATATAGCTGAGGCTGAGAAATGGGCTAACATTACAACAACCCTGTAGTGCTTTTCCCTGGTAATTTGTTTCAGAGTTCTGTGGCTGAGAAAGAGTAGCCTAGGACTGTAGTTTGCAATGCAGATCAAATTGCCACCTGGAGATCTTCCAGAATTCAAACTGATCTCCAGACCTACAGAGATCTGTTTCCCTGGAGGAAATGGCTACTTTGGAGGCTACTTTCCCCTCCGCCTACCCCACCCTCCCAAGGCTCCACCCCAAATACTCCAGGAATTTCCCAATCCAGAGTTGGTAACCAGGGGTCATTTCCTGCAAGAGCGCACAGGAGCGGAGCTCCGGCAGTAAAGAGCCCAGGGGGTGGGCACATGCAACAAGCCCCACTCCCTGCTCCCAGCAGCCCTCAGTCAGAGCAAGAAGAGGCTGGGTAAGCTGCAGAGTCCACCCCCCCCAGCCCCCCGGTCCAAAACAGTCCAGTGGCACTTTTAAGACCAAGTTTTATTCAGGTACGAGCTCTCCCTCCTCTGCGAGGACAGATCTGCCGTTCTCT